GTCTTCTCAAGAGGGTTGTTCTTGCACAGGTGCTTGGATTAAATTATGGCAAGACTCTAAATCTGTTCTAGACAGACACATTCAGCGAATTCTGCTTAAATAGATGATCAGTGATCAGAATCAAATGTTGTGCCATAAGTACTCAATATACCAAGCCCTTAAAATCTGGCTCTACTCCCAGGCCCTGGGTCAGAGCAGGTGGTGGATCCCTTGTGTGATGTTTTGGTTCTTTTTGAAAGGTCGTTTTTTTTTTTTTGGGCTTCTTTTTGGTGATACAATTCTTTGTTTGCAATCATTGTTTTTTTAATGCTGTACTCTGTAAGCTGCCCAAAGTTGTGGCAGATTGGGGTGGCCTGTAAATTCCATAAATAAGTAAACAAACATGGGTACATGTTTAGGTCCATTGCATGATGAAAATTTTTCTGGCCCATGTCATGAGTGCTTAAATCTTGCAAGGACCCATGCATAAAATAAACTGGCTTTAACACACATGAAAATGGAAGGACAAGTTGGTTTTGTCTTCTTAGTAAAATGCCTTCAGATCTTGGATTAACTCTGCTCAACCAGGTTTTCTATTAGATCCTTCTAGAAGAAGGTGTGTAAAAAGCTTTCTGTTCCAGTCAAACTTTTTGTAGTGATGATTTCTTTCTGCAAGCTCTGGCGTTCAAGGATTTTTAGTTTTTCTTTAGGCAAAATTTTTGAGTTCACTTCTGATTTCTTTGGTTGTAGTTCACTTTAAGTTTGCTGTATATACTCAGGGCAAGGGATGTTCCATCTTTAGTCCTGAATGGTATCCTTAGGACTGGTACACAATTTAAGGCTCTTCTTGGACCCACAACTCCTGCTTGAGAAGCAGGTAGCAGCTGTGGTTAAGAAGGCCTTCACACAAATCTATCTTGTGCACCAGTTGTGCCCTTCCTGGACTGTCAGGCCCTTCAGACAGTTACACATGCTTTGGTGACTTCATACATGGATCATTGCAACACAGTCTACATGGGACTGCCCTTGGAAACCACTTGGAAGCTGCGGCTTGTCCAGAATGCAGCAGCATAGACAAGTATGGGTGTATTTCATCAGACCTATGTAATGCTTTCGCTCCGTGAGCTGCACTGGTCACCAGTAGCCTTCTGGGTGCAATTCAGAGTGCTGATTATTAACTATAAAGACCTTCATGGCATAGGGCCTGGTATCTAAAAGACCATCTGTCTTCTGTGGCTTCTGCCCAGCCTGTATGATTGGACAGAATTGGCATGCTCCAGATCCCATCCATCAAGCAGTGCTGCCTGATGGGGCCTAAGAAATATGCCTTCCCTGCCATAGCACCTGCCCTCTGGAACACCATCCCCCCCCCACCCCCGATACACGTCTGGCTTTCATTCTGGTTGTGTACAAAAGAGCTCTGAAATCCTGGCTTTTTCCCAGGCCTTGGGTTAGAGTGGGTGGCAACTCCTGCAAGTTTGTCTTTTAATTGTGGTTTTTCTTCCAGCATGTCATTTTTTTTAAAATGTATTATATGATTGTTTTCACTGTATGCCACCCAGAGTTGCTGTAGAATTGGGTGGCTGTACAAATTTCTAAAATAGTTCAAATCCTCTGGGATCAGTGATTAGAAAACCACTTTTCATGCATTTGTTTCTTTCCAGTTAGAATGTGGCAAGATTTTTTTGTTTCAAATTCTGGTTAATATGGACCAGAAACAGCTACTGTTTCTGAATTCACATAGGGTCCATTCCAGGTGATAGTTGGGAAGTAGTGGATGGGATTAAGATGATGGTGCTAACTTATCCTTAACCATTGATCATAGCTTATTTATTGATGGCAGTGGCTAGGTCTGAAAAGCCATCTGTCATTCCAAAACTCCCATCATGCCCCAGAGTAAAGCTGTCTCAAGTGTTCTAGAAACTGGGAGGAGTTTTAAATGACATGCGGTTTTCTAGACCTGTCCACTCTTTCTAGGTAAGTCTTCAGGCAGATGAGCTGATCACAGCTGCCAGGATTAATCAACTAAAGGTTAGGTGTTGAACAAACACAGCCATTGTTGTTTGTAAGCCAATCGTATTCAGTAAACGAATAGGGGTGAATATGTGTAGCTCATGGTTGAACCGTGGAGTCCTGAGCTTAGCTCTTTTCTTGCAAACATTACCTAGCTGGGTAATGAAATGTTTGCAAGAAAAGAACCAAGCTCAGAGAACCCCAAGGACTCCACAATTCAGTAAACTATAAGAACATAAGAACGGTCTAGCTAAATCATGCAAGGAGCACATCTAGTTCAGGATTCTGCATTATGGTGGTCAACCAGATGTCTTTGGGAAATTCAGAAGTATGGCTAGGAGAGTGAAAGCCCTCTTCTATTGTCTCTTCTCAGCAGCTAGCTTACTGAGTTGTTAGAGACTGGCCACAGAAGTATAAGTTAAGGACATCATAAACAATTCCTACTCTTATGATGATAGCTCCTAAGCAAATACTTACTCCAAGTCTGGAATTGTTCTTTTGCATGGGAAAAACTTGCAGATTTTGTGCAAAACATGACACTCTTATTTTCTCTTCATGCAGATGTAATTATGCAAATCACTGCAACATATTTACAAACAGAGTTAATTTATATCAACAAGGCTTGATGTGTTTGTTCAAATTCAGATTATTGCTGTGTCTTTACTGTGTGTGTTTTTATTTTTTTACTTTGAGGAACATTGAAAGTTTTGGATGAAGTATGATATAATGACAGAAGGAGAAAGAGAAACAGAGTAAGTGACAACAATGAATAATTATAGTTAGCTGCATTAGTCAGTAAGGGCAGGAAGAAACATGTTCCCTAATATTGCATCCATCTCAACTCATTCAGTCTAGGAAACACAATTTGCATGCCAAACTGGTTTTGATGTGAGCCTGCTGTGCAAATAACAGTATAACTAGGTTCATACACTGAGCTAAACTATGTTTTGTTTTACTGTGGTTCACTGAATAAGGCACAGTGGCTAAATTCACATGTCACACAAAGCCATAAACCATGGTTTACAACTGACAGTGATTGAGCTCCCACATGCAAAGCTTTTGCTTAATTATCTTTCCAGGTCATTGCCTGATCATGCACAAAAACAATCATTAGAAAAGGAATTAAAATGTTCAAAATCTTACAAGGTCTCCAAATCTCGGGAAATGTTAGTAATCCCACTCCAAGATGTTGGTAGTTCTCCCAGGAGAAACTCTTGTAGTAGTGCATTTCCAGGAAGTGAGGGGAGCTGAGACACAAAGGTATTGTTTTTGCGTGGTGGCCTCCTTTTGGAGGCATGATTGGCTCTATCGTTAATAGCATTCAAGAAGCTAGTTAAAACTGTCTTATTCCCAAGAGTTTTGGGGTGAATTGTGACGTTGTCAAGGTTGTGTTAGGGGATTTTAATTTAATTTTAACTTTATTCTAAACATTTTGCTGTTGTATTTTATGATTTTTGTGAACCTCCAAGAGTTCTGAGATATAGTATTGTGTACGTACCTGTATGCATATGTGTGTGTCTCTCTCTCGTGTGTTAAACAAGATTTTGGTGCTGTTGTAAGGTTTATTATTATTACATTTTTGTCCCATCTTTTTTATATGTAACTCAAGGTGGTGAACATACCTAATACTCCTGCCTCCAATTTTCCCCACAACAACAACCCTGTGAGGTGGGTTGGGCTGAGAGAGTGTGACTGGCCCAAAGTCACCCAGCCAGCTTTCATGCCTAAGGGAGGCCTGGAACTCACAATCTCCTGGTTTCTAGGCCATCACCTTAACTACTGCACCAGACTGGCTCTGCACTATACTGCTACACTACACTAGAAAGATTTGATGATCTTTTAAGTTTCTGTCATTTTTTTAACCTTTAAAATTTAATATTTGAGTTCAGTGAAGGACAGGAAGGCCTGGCGCAATATGGTTCATGGGGTCACGAAGAGTCAGACACGACTTAATGACTGAACAACAAAAATTATGGATGAGTTGGTAACCACAAAATCTCACTGCTCATTCTGTGCTAGTTCCAAATTGGTACAACTATAATATGAACATGATGTATGAACCCAAATAGTGTAACTAGCCACTCAGAAATGCATACTTAATCTCATAAATTGCTCCTTAGAAATCCCCATTAGTCAATCCAGGCCCAAAGGTTGTACATAGGCCACAACTAGGGATGGATTTTTTGTCATGCTTCTTGTTCAAAATAATTTGAAAAATACAGTTCTGAGCAAGAGAGTTTTAGAAGCATGGAAAGGGTCCATTGACAGAAATTCTGCTTCTACTCTTTGAAAGTGTTTTAGGAACCTAGGATTTTAACTTCTGGACATGACAGAAAGCAATCTTGTCTGTATTTTTTTTGCCATAAATGTTTCAGAGTCATGATATGGTAATTGAAACATGGGTTAATGCTTGCAAATTTGTTTATTTTATGGATAGGACCTTTGTGCAACCATCAAAAACATGAGGTAGCTACACATGCAGCCTGGATTTCTAACTACAAGCAAAATGGTTTAAAAAAAAATATGGTTTGGCAGAGGAAAAGTCAGGGAGGAATCTGGCTGGCCATAAAGAAAAGCAGTGATTTATTTAAATAACTCTATGCTGCCACAATCAAAAAAGACTCTCAGCAGCTTACATAAAAAAGATCATTTGTATCCAAGCAAGCTTTAGGGTTCAATATTCCCCATCCATCGTAGGCCCATAGAAAGATTAGTAGCTTTCAGTTTTGTTTTCATTCAAACATGGTCCATCATTATTTCATCTGAGCCCAATGTGGTTCATTGATGCAAACTAGCTGAATAAACCAATGTTTGCTATCGGTTGTCCTTAAAATGTGGACAGGCTAATTGCAGCATGTCCAAACATACTGCTCTACTGTGGTTAAACAGTGAAGAGGTCTGCTATCTCCTTGTGTCATGTCTCAGGATATATGAGGAGGTCGCCCATGAGGTTTGCCTGAGGCTTACTTCCATAATGGGAACCATAATTTACTGCTATGCGTGAATGCATCCGATGCCTCCCTTGGTAAGATTCCCTTATCTACTTCAGGGAACCCAGCTGACCTTCAGAAAAACATGAACCTAGGCTAGATATATCCCCTTTCCCCCCATTGCTTCTGGGTTCAGCAGGAAACAGAGAGGGACAGGAGACTTTAAGGTTGCAGTGTTATGCGTGGCTGTTCCAATTGAATTCAGGGTAGCTTACATCTGGGTAAATACACATAAGAGCAGGTGACAAACTGAGAACCTGTTTGCCAAGGGAGGATTGATGCATAAAGGGTGTAACTGAATAGCTGCTGCAACAGGTGAGACTGGTCAAAGAGCAAGGTGTAGAAATGGGGTTCAGGTTTGTTTAAGAGGAGCCAGCTGGACATCCATTTGCGTAGCAATACCAGTGTGGCTTCTTTCTCTTTTTTTAAATGTTAATTTTTGTCTATCCACCATTGGGAAAAAATCTTACATTTATATGCTAAATTTTGCAGCAGGAAGAGAAAAAGAGAAGAATCTACATTTTGCATTCTCAACAAGCTTTGCAAGAGGGAAAAAATACATTAGTGCATACGGTGCTGTTTACCATTTACGCTTTGGGTAGGGCTGGAGGAGAAGAATGAAAGTAGAAACAAGGCTCAAGAGGGGGGATTTGTCAGTTTTTGGAGCGTGTGCATGTATGAGAGAATGAGAGTGAGAGCAAGGTGCATTCAGTTTTTACATATATGGGGAAGTTGAAGGTGAGATTATCCAGTCCCTAAGGATTTGGATGATGAAACGGCAGCCTTGTTTCTAGGACTTTGGAAATTAGGAAGCTGAGAACTTTTAGAGGGAACTGCAATGTAAGACAGAGCTAAGGCAGACTTAGCAAGATAGGGGTAAGGTTTAGCGGTATCCTTTTCAGTCAGTGGGTTGTTGGCCAAAGAGGAGAGCTTGATTGTGGCTAATACCCTGGATAAATCCTCACAGACATGGCTACACAGCAAAACAAATGTCGAAAGCTGGAAAATACTTTTTCCTTGATTCTGGTTCCTTTTGTTCAGTGATTGTTCCTTTCCCAGCAGATCCTGAAAAGGAAGGTAACCCGGTATCCTGAAGCATGAGAGTTCAGATGAGCATGGGATTAATTTCTCAGTAAGCCTGCATCAGATTGTGCTTTGAAACCAAAGGAAACCTGTCACCTTCAGATTTTTGCACCATGATTTGCAAAAGAGGATTTTTAAAATATCTGTATTCCAGTTTTTGTCTAGGATTTTTAGAATTGCACCTGGGACACACAAAATATGGCAGGGACAGTTTAAAAATCCTGAGTTGTGGGCCAGGTATGATTCATGAAAAAAGGCTGAAATTTGTGGAATAAGGAAGCATTTGTTTCCAGAAAAGTAGTTGCGATTAAGAAACACAGATGGCATCTGATAAGAAAATAGAATTCTGCCCCCTCAAATAGCTGAAATACTTTTATCACTACCCCACATGGACTCTCTAATTTTTTTGGGAGTTATTTTAATCAGGATGTCTGAGTACTAGCCTGCCTATTTTTTTTCTTCCTTATAGCCACAGCCCTCTGAAGGTGATGGTCTGGAGATGAAGACCCAGTCCCAAAAGGTGCATCTCTGATGATTCCTTGGTTCATGGCAAGAGGAGACAGCCTTCCAAGGGATGGGTAACCATGAGAAAAATCCGTCATCTCCTAAAAGGGCACTACCCCCTTCCCGGTCCAACAGCACTGTGTCTTCCAAACACAGCATTGCTTGGCAGGTGTGGTTCCTCTCAGCTGAGTGTCCACAAAATTGATCTCTACATGTCCCTGGGATTGTGGGGAGGGACTTCCAGATCAAATGTGTACTGATGCACTTGTTTATTTAGCCTTTGGTGAATGGGTGCATCAGGGGTGTGGAATCTGCAACTTTCTAAATGCTGCTAAACAACAACTCCCAATGTTGCCTACCATTGTTTGTACTTGTGAGACTGCTGGAAGTTGCAGTTCAGCTCCATCCAAGGGCCTGTCTACCCCAGAGTATATCATCAGCTCCAAGACTGGCAAAGCACATGGTCTTGAACCCTAGCCAGCCTGGACAGTGAGGAGGGGGCTGCAGTATAGTGAGTGATGCCTGGATAGTTATAACCCATGTCAACCAAAGCTTTCAGTTTGGATTAAAGCTCCTGCCTTTCTGTTTTCTTTTTTTTAAATAGAGTTCCGAAAGCTGGGAAGTGGTAGATGAACTGCACATCCATAGTGGGGTCATCCAGCATCCAGAAAGGCAGGAGGGCTACCTGCTAAAGAAGCGAAAATGGCCCCTGAAAGGCTGGCACAAGGTATGTGTCAATAAGGTGGCAGGATTCTTATTTCCCTTCAGTGATTCTGGGGTGGGGATGAACTGCAGCTTTGCTCCTTGTTATCCTGAACTGTCTATTTGTTTTGCCATTCCCAGTGGTCTGAAGCAAATAACTATAGCACTAAATTAACAACTCCATTTCCAAGTCATTCCTGCTGTCCTGAACCAGTGAGATAAGTGAGATGTTGCCCCCCCCCCCCCCCCCTCCC